CCTAAATGTTGAGAGAAAGATGTACTAGTAAAAAAGGAAGCCTTTTTAAGGCTATTTATGTAGCAATACCTTATAGATCAAAATTTAAGTAAGCAATGCCTCAAAGCTGAGCTGAATTACATATTCTTTTCACTTACTCCTTAAAAAGCTGATATGCCTTATCGGGTCAACATCGAAGTTGGGAATCATTGAGCAAGAAGCGAAGGCACATAAGTCCTTCAAATATTTACTATGAATCGACTTTCAAATATAACACTGCTGTTGGGAATGGGTTTTAGAACTATCATTGTGTTTCTAATCATCTAGATTGATCGAATGTATGGTAAATCGAGACGGCACATTATTATGAAGATAGTGAACGTGCTACCAACTGGCATGTAAATAATATAATAGCTGTTGTTGTGTTAATGCCAATGCCGAATATACAAATAAATATTTTTTCAACAATTAGGGCTCATGTAGTTTATTAGATTTCGTAACTAGTCAATCGGTTATCTTGTGAACTTACCGCGTTGATGCCAGAGAGCTGCTGCATAACCTGTATCAGGCAGGCAATAAGGAGAGGCATTCTCAAGTCACGTTGCGTGAAAAGCTGAGTGAACTTGAACTCTGGTTGGTTTTTGGCCACTTCAATCTCTTCACGCAGCTCTCCAATGAAGGTGTTTACGTCCTCATTAGCGTTTAGCCGGACAAAAGCCTTTCTGGCTTCCTCCTCTTGGGATTTCTTGATAAAAAGGAAGCGAGGACTCTCCGGGCAGAAGGGCAACGTAAGCAGTGAGATGAAGGCAGGTATAGCTCCTAGGCCAATGGCTACCGGCCATAGCTTTTCGGTGTTGAGAGTACTCGTCAAAGTGAAGACATAAGCAAGTACAATGCCGATGGTAACGGCCAACTGATGGCAGGCTCCGATGAGGCCGCGAAGCTGCCGTGGCGAGATCTCAATCAAGTAGAGTGACGCGACCCCGATCGTTACACCAGAGTTGAGACCGGAGAAAAACCGGCCCACGAACAACAAAGCAGCCGAGTTGGCAACTACACAAGGTGCTGAAAGCACGCCGCCAAGGATGCCTAGAAAGTGGTTGGCAAGTAGACCGTTACGTCTAAGGGATTAAGAATATCCGAAAGAGACAATAAGTTCCACGCCAAAAAATCCAGTACATATAAAAATTACATAATATCTAAACGCATGAGCTAATGTGTCCCAAAGTTGAGGCATAATTAAGTTGTAATAAAGTATTTCGACAAATTGCATCATAAAGTTG